TGCAGCTCTCTCGCCAGACTGCCCACACACGTTTGTTCGTCGCATATGTGAAACAGACTGGTGTGGATGTTGCTCCTTGTCCCTCACCGATTCAGCAGGTTTTGGACCGGTATCCAAACCTGATGCAGGAGCTTACTGGACTTGTCCATAGGCAGACCCAACACAGGATTGAGCTTCTGCCAAGTGCGGTTCCTCCCAAGGGCCGTATCTACAAGATGTCCCCTGCTGAACTCGATGAGCTCAGGAGACAGCTTGAGACCCTGACCAGCAATGGCTGGATCAGACCCAGCACATCTGAATTTGGGGCTCCACATCTCTTTGTTCCAAAGGGAAATGGAGAATTCAGGATGTGCGTAGACTACAGGGTTTTCAATAAGATCACTAGGAAGTCTACAGAGCCCCTTCCTAGGATTGATGATCTGTTGGACATGGTGCAGGGCTGCACAATTTTCGGCAAGATCGATCTCAAATCTGGCTACCACCAGATTGAGATGGCTGAAGGCGATGTCCACAAGACTGCCTTCAAGACCAGATACAACACTTATGAGTACCTGGTCATGCCTTTCGGTCTTTGCAATGCCCCTGGCACATTCCAGACACAGATGCATCGCATACTCAGGCCTTACCTAGACAGGTTTGTAGTTGTGTACCTGGATGATATCTTGGTATTCAGTCGATCTGTCGAGGAGCATGTGCAGCATCTCGCTCTGGTTCTCTAGGCACTACATGAGGCCCAATATAAGATCAACAGGGAAAAGTCCTCCTTTGGAGTGACTTATGGGACTTATCTGGGACATATAATCTCTGGGGAAGGGCTGGCTCCTGAAGCAACAAAGGTTGCTGCGATTCAGGACTGGCCACAGCCTACCACAGCGCGTGATGTCCGGTCATTCTTGGGTCTTGCTTCATACTACAGAAAGTTCGTCAATAACTTTTCTTCTACTGTTGCACCCCTGACTGACCTTACAAAGAAAGACACCCACTTTCTTTGGACATCAGACTGTCAGCAGGCTTTTACACACCTCAAGGAGGCCTTGATGCGTGCACCTGTTCTGAAGCTACCTGACCCTACCTGCCCTTCGTACTAACTACTGATGCGAGCCAGTATGGGGTTGGGGCAGTACTTCAGCAGGATGGTGGGCATGGTCTGCAGCCGGTTGAGTACATGAGTAAGAAGATCAAAGTAAAGAAGCTGCAGGATTCCACGTACGAGAAAGAGCTATATGCTCTAGTGTCAGCGCTAAAGCATTGGAAGCATTTCCTCATGGGCAGGCACTTCCAGATCTATTCAGATCACTCCACCTTACAGTGGATGAAGACCCAAGGGGAACTGAATAACAAGCTTGCGTGCTACATTCGGTTCATTGATCTCTTCGACTTTGAACTGAAGCACAAGAAGGGCTGCTACAATCTTGTAGCAGACGCCCTTTCTCGTAGGCCTGATGCTCTCTGCCTGATCTCCTCTACTCATACTATTGGGGAGAGCACCCATCAGACCATCGCCCAGTTACTGCCACAGGACCCGATTTTTGGCCCAATTGTCAGGAATCTGCAGACTGATCCTGCCTCTGAACCAGGATACATTCTGGTTTCAGATCTGCTGTACACTTGCAGCAGAGGAGAGGAACGTTTGTGCATCCCTCAGGACCGCCAGCTGAGAACACTCATTATGTCTGAGTGTCATAATGCTCGCGGCCACTTTGGGGCCTTAAAATCGTTGGCAGCCCTGTCGCAGCAGTTCTTCTAGCCAAAGATGAGGAAAGACCTGCTGCACTATGTTGAGACCTGTGAGTTGTGCCAAAGGAACAAAGGTCGTTCGCCGACCTCCCCTTGGCCTGCTGCAGCCACTTCCCATCCCTGATGCACCAGTACAGTCAGTGGCTATTGATTTCACTGACCTGGGGAGGACCACTCCTCGCGGTATGCGTCAGGTCATGGTGTGTGTGGACAGGTTCTCCAAGTACGCGGAGTTTATTCCTTTGCCAGAGGAAGCCAGAGTCCCGGCCGTGCAGGCGGCCTTTGCTAACAGGTGGGTTACTCACCGTGGACCACCCACCTCTACTGTCAGTGACAGAGATCCGCGGTTTTGCAGCAATGAATGGCAGTCCTATTGTAAGAACTACCTTCATTCCAGACTGGATATGACATTTGGTCGTCATCCTGAAGCCAATGGGCAGGCTGAAGTGATGAACCCAGATCCTTTTCCAATTGCTGCGTCCTGTGATCAGCCCCGATCAGCAGGATTGGGATCTCCATCTAGGACGGGCGCAGCTAGTGTACAACACATCTGTACACTCCTCCACAGGGTTCACCCCTTATCGATTGCACTGGGGACGTGAGCCACGACAGCCTCTCAATGACATCATCGACAAGGCTACCCCCAAACTGACTCCTGGGACTGCAGTATTCACCAAACAGTACGAGAGGGATATCGAACGAGCCAGAGTTAACCTGCTCAAAGCCCAAAAGGCTATGATTCAGCAGGCTAACAAGCATCGTCGACCCTCCCCCATCCGCGCTGGTGACTGGGTCTGGGTACTCAGTTCCGAGCTCTCGCGTGAGGAGGACATTTCGCCCAAGCTGTTGCCGCGTTATATGGGTCCATGGCAGGTTTTAGACACAGTGGGAGCTGACCCTTTCGTGCCATCTTATCAGGTGGATGTCCAACTGCATCTACAAACCTACCCTGTCTTTCATGCATCCAAGTTGTTGCCGTTTGTCCCAGCTGATGCATTTCTAGACAGGCCTCCTCAATTTGGTCCCCCGGTCCCTGGGAAGGGGTATGAAGTGGAAAAAGTTGAGGATGAGTATGGTAAAGGCCCAGATAAGGAGTACCTTGTGAAGGTTCTCTACCAGCCCCATACTGAGGATCGCTGGTTTACTCGCAAGGAGCTTATGAAAACAGCAAAGTCTGTTATCCTCAAATATGAGGCTGCGCAGAGGGGAGAACCCCTTCGACGCTCTGCACGCCTAAGCCCCTAGCTCGAAGGTCCTCGCTCCGGGGGACGGTAGGTCCGCAATGACTCGCTGGTTCCAGGTTGCCTGTAGCCTCTCTTGGACGAGGCTGTACCATAGGTAGGGACAGATTTGGAATTTTGTTTGGCTGAGGGCTAACCGAGAGACCTACCTGTAAGGAAAATTTGTGAGGGACATATTTGTAAATATACGAAATATGGGCCCAATACTAACTCGAATTTCCTACAGTTACCCTAACTGCGAATAGCAGACCCGGGCTACCCCTAGGACAGACAGGCCCTACGGGCCTGCGCTGATAGACGGTCCTATAGCCAATAGCCGGGTAGGGAGAGGCCCTAGAGGCCGAAACAGAAATGGTACCGGTCAGTCAGTCAGTCCGGTCTAGGTCGGTCTAGGCTAGTAGTAGAGTATAGATAGGATGGGGACATCGGTCCTAGGCTTTTGGGCGGTTGACACTTCATGGTGGAAGTTGCTGCGCACACGCTATCAGGTTGTGGTTACTGATTCCGGTGGTGAAGACGGCGGACATAGCCAGACCTCCGGAGTGCTGACCAGACTGGGGTCAACGCTGTCCGCTCTGACTCTCTGGGAGTCAAAGAGGTCTAGGCTATGAGAGGTCTGATGTGTTGGAGCACGTGGTGCACTGCTGACCCTCCTCAGGAGTAGGGTCCCAGTGGCGATGTAGCCATAGCTGCATCTTCTCAGAGATATCATCATCTGGACTTCATCTTCATCAGGGACTGTTGGCGCTGAGCTTCTTCTTCATCATCTGGGTGGCGATTGTCTCTGGGAGCCTGTTGCACTTTGGCGCAGGCCACTGAGTTGGATGTCAGGGTGGCGCTGGGTGTTACCTGGGGTTTCGGTGCCATTTTTAGCTGTCCGGGTGGTGGGGTTGAGGCGCTACCCCTCTGAGCGTAGCGCAGCAGGGTTCTGAGGTCATTTCAGTTGAACGATGCTCTGAGTTTAATAAACAGTTGTAATACTGTGTTTGAGTTGTCATCTCTTCATTGATTTCTGGTTGTGATCACTCGGTTGTCTTCTATGAATGATTGTTGGGATTTCTGTGGAGAGAATTCACTGGATTGTGTATTTTGTCACTTCGCTTCCCTGAGTCTTCCGCTGCGTTTTCTTTTCTGGGCGGTGTGACCTCCACTACCTCTCCCCTTCCCTTTGTGCATGTATGGGTGTGTACGGGAGTTCCTGTGAGTGAGTGTTGATAAAATTTCAACAGACAATCATGTTCATAACATCCTGGCCTTCCCAGCCTGAAATGTCATGCCTAGCAGGATCAAGATGAAAATATCAGTGGAAAACTATATTTTTGTTCCTAATAATAGTAACTTCTATACTTGATTTATGAATTTTCATTCTGTCTCTTTCTACATGCGGTCACTAGGGCTGCGTGTGCCTACCTTCTTTCCCCGAATACAACGTACAGGCATTATAGCTGCATCTAGACTGAAAGATGCCTCAAATGTAGCTATAATGACCGTACGGCGTACGTTGTATTCTGGGGAAGAAGGTAGTGACACTATAGTTACTATGCCTTAAGCCTGCTACTACTACAATGGATGGAACGCAGGGTCATTATATGAGTGGAAGACTATATATATTTCTTCTATGGATAGAACCCAGGGTCGCTATATCAGTGGAAGACTATATTTGTTGTCTACGGATAGAACCCATGGTCATTATATCAGTGGAAGACTATATTTGATTTCCTATGGATGGAGCCCAGGGTCATTATACCAGTGTAACTGTGGAAGACTGTATTTACTATTTAGGCGAGTTCACAGGTTGGGTACAGAGACGACGACTGTAAATCCTCGGGATGTTCGGAGGAAGAGTGTGACCCAAAAAAAAAAGACAACGAGGCAAAACGGAGGAATAGCCATGAATAAAACTTTGGAGAACTGGACAAATACTAGTGCTGATTAAAAAAAAAAAAAAAAAAAAAAAGTCCGCAGAAATGGGGTTGAGAGCGGATGACTGTGGGTTGACTTTTTCAACAGCGTTTGACTCACCAGTATGTACCCCACGAGTTTCGACCAATCCAGTATTCCTTCCCGGTTGCATCATCGATTCCCCACCCGACCAAAGATACCTCATGGTTAGGACTGCGAGGGACGGTCATTTGCTGAAAGACGCCACCCTTGTACTCATCAAATTTCCTCGTTGCGTGAATGCCGCAGCTCACAGGTCCTCTCTTGAAAATCTCCGCTGCAACCCACACAATCAAAAACAGGCACCCCATAGGTCTAAGCCATCCAAAACGAAAGAAAGAAAGAAAAAAAAAGGTCTTACCCATCCAAAGAAAAAAAAAAGGTGGTCTTTACCGTCTTAGGCTCTTAGCCCAAAAAAAAAAAAAAAAAACGGGAGATTGCGATGTC